CCCCCCCCCCCCCCCCCCCTCCCGAAATGCAGCAAAAAAAAATCTTGCAATTTCTTACATTAGATTTTTTTTGGTGGTGTTTTTCTCTCTCAAATCTGTCTTTGTCTGAAAATATTGTGTCTATCATTCTTTTCAGAATGTCATTCGTTTTCCATTTCCCCATAAATAAATAAATGCTTCTCTGATTCTTCCTAGTACTGATCTTCCTCTGTTCATGTTATTGTTCATGATTAATGTACTCTCTCAAATGTGTCTTCTTCCTGTCTTCTACACTTGCCTGTCCCTAATAAACACAATCTAGCTTTATTATTTCAGTTTTTTGGGCAATTATTATTAGCAATATCATTACCCGAGTCAAAAAAAGCGGTCGAATGACGACCAAAATCGGTGGCATAATGTCGATCCGAAATCGGTGGCATAATGTCGATTCGAGTCAATTGGTAAAGCATTTGTGACTTTAAAGTAACAACGTGACACGTTTAAAACCAGATGACGCTGAGTGAGAATATTAGTGCAGAATCTGATCTCTTTGCTTGTAAAATATTAGTTCGATGATTAGTCTTTTGAAATTTTGTATGTGGGTCTGCTTAATTGAGAGAAAATGACGTCATTTTCAACTTTTAATATTGTCTTTGGTGTGTTAAATGTGAATTTAGTTTTGTCACGTATTTGGTCCTATGTTTTTTAAATAACTTTTTATTTAATTTGTTTCAAAATAATAATATTTATTCTTTCCATCAAATTTGAATACAAATAAAAAAAAAATTCAAGAGAAATTATCTAAGTAATCTCTTAACAAACCTATAATATTTTTATAAATGGAAGAATTTGAGATTAATAAAAATATATTCTTTAAATTTTTCATTATGTATTATTTATATGAACATACATATTGTTAATAATAATATATAATATAATAGAGAAGTGAAAATTACATATTCCTTAATTTTAAAATTCTATAAACTTTTTTAAGGAAATTATTTGGTATTTTTATTTTTATATTTCTAAACCCCAAATAAATTGATCCACCACTCTTATCCCCAAAAAAGGAAAAATAAAATGTCAAAATGGGTAGATAATTAAAGCATATTTTTACAAATTAGACAAAAACAAAATTATGAGGTAATTAGCAACAAATTAATTAAAGTTAAGAAAAATAAAGAAATTGTATTTATTATTATTCATCATTAATGAAGGTTTGAATAATAAATGACATTTCTTGGAATTGACAAAATAAATATAATTTTTAATATATACTTTTAATTACATGGAAATGATTGGCCATCATTGTTCCAACAGTTCAGATCTAAGCCAATATTATATACATAGGCTGCTACCTTTGCTTCGATTTTGAGAAACAAAAAAGGTCGTTTTTTTCTTTAAAAAATAAAATAAGAGAATGTTGGTGATATCATGAGTTTTTTTTTTTTTTTTCTTTATTTTTTTATTATGAAAATTGATGATAATGAGATTAAGTAGGCTATGATGAGCTTAAAATATTTATAGAATTACTATATCATTAATTTATAACCCATGTTACATCATCTATTCAACGTGTGGGACCTACCAAAATTAAGAGGGAAACAAATTCATATAATTAATATATTTAAAATTAATAGAAATTTATCTAATAGGATTATAAGCTTTAAGAATATTAAATTAGTTCCTGAATTTTTAAATTTTTATTTTTATTTTTATTTAATTAAAATTTTTGTTATGTTTAGTGAACTTCTAATTTCTATTTATCAATTTTGATATTTTGTGTATTCGTTTATAATGATTTTATTTTTTAATTTTACAAAAATATATTTTCTTTTTTCACGGCTTGTTCTCTTATTTCTTAAAAAAAAATAATAATAAATAAATAAATAGTTAAATTCTAATTTTTTTTTTAATATTGACTCGAATTCAAATACTTTCTCAAGAAATAAGAGAACTATATTATTATTTTTTAAATCTTCGCTTGAATTTTAAATATAATAGAAAAAATATATAACAAAATAAAAAAAATTAGTGAGACGTTGTATTTCTTAGGCTTTAATTTAAAAAAATAAAAAATTAAATAGTTTTCAAAATTAATTAACCAAAATGTCAATAACTTATCTCACATAAACTTAAAAAATTTAAAGTTTAGTTAATAAACTTATAATTTAATCAAAATAAAAACATTGTGAATAAAAATTTCAAATTTACGATGAAATGATATACTTATTTTTTCAAGATGAAAATTTAAATGCTCATATATTCTTGAGTTTTGTGGGTACTGAAAAAAATTAAATATATAATTTGCCAATTAAATGTAAGTTAATTGTTATTATTTTATAATCTTGGATTTTTATTTTAATTTTAGTTAGTTTTTTTTTTTTTAAGTTCATCTTCTTGGAAACAACGTGGCTTTTTTAAAAATATATTATTATATACATTACCTTTTTTGGTAAAAAAAATTTTATTTTTTTACCTTAAGTCACTAGTTACCGTGAGGATTATGGAAATTTTAAAAAAAATTTACCGGTCCTTTTTCTAATTCTTGCTTTAAATGGCAAAGAGAGTAAATCCAGTGGTTTGCGCCCTACGATAGGGACAACAAGGTACACCCTCTTGCCACTTTGACTTAGCCGTTAGCCGTCCAATCTAATTAATCATAAAATCCCTTTCCGATCTTTGACCGTTCATTCCACTGTTGTTCATAATTATCCTATCAACACATTCCTCAATCACTCATCATCTACGCCGTACATCTTCACATGTATTTTAATTAATACTTAATCTACACCGTACATCTGACTCTATATATTATACAAAAAAAAATTTCAAGTACATCATATTGCACGTGATCTCTACCCATTCTTTTACTTCTTATCTCCATTTTCCAATGTCAACTAACTCTTCCCTCTTCACAAACTTATTTAACCTTAAAACATTTAGTTGTTACAAGAAACTCTACGATGTTAGGTTAATTATGATGCGTAATATTAACGTATGTTTGGTTTCTTTATAGGACTTCAAGCTTTTGAGACGTATAAGAACATTTCCTCGTGTTTTGACCAATTAAAATGCATTTGAAAGTAGATTAGAATGAAGTACTTTTATCGAATTGTAACCACTAACAATATATTGTCCGTTTTGCCCCATTGCATATCGTCATCAGCCTCACAGTTTTAAAACGTGTTTGGCTGACAACGATACGTAAAGGACTAAAACGGACAATATCTACTAACGGTGGACTTGGGTTGTTACAAATGGTATTAAAGTCAGTCACTGCGCGATGTGCCAACAAGGATACTAGCCTTCAAGGGGGTGTATTGTGAGATCTCACATCAGTTAGAGAGAGTAACAAAACATACCTTATACAGGTGTAGAAATCCCTCCATAGTAGACTTATTTTAAAACCGTGAGGCTAGCAATGATACGTAACGAGCTAAAACGGACAATATCTATTAGAGGTGAGCTTAGACTGTTACAATAATAAAGAAAATTTCCTTAAGTAGTCAAATCGAGCCCGGCTCAGTGGACAAGGTACCAATTACTATTCTAAACGTGATCGATAATTCGATATCCTTCCCGAGCGCCCGTTGACCTAATAAAAAGCTAAGAAAAAGTTTGTAAAATGGGAAGGTCAATAAACTCCTAAAATGTGAGACCCACTTGTGAAGAAGCTTTTAATTCAAAAGGTTTTTGCATGCCTTCCCAAAAAGGTTGTCTTTTGGAGCATTTTACTTTGAACAAATTTTTTAATTAAAAAAAAAAGTTAATGGGATTAAAATTATTATTATTATTATTATTGGTCAAACCCCATTTGACCAAAGGCTCCAATTAGCTCAAAATTATGTTCAAAATTTGTGTCTTTCATGTCCTTCCGTTCATGCTGCATGAGTGCTCTGGTCTGCCACCAACACACTATCCATTTAAACCTTTTAAATTAAAATAAATAAATAAACCCTTTTTCTCAATTTTCAAATTTCATAAATATTTTTAAAATATAAATTATAAAATTCTCCCATCAACGTGGAATCTCATAATCCACCCTCTAGCAGTCACATCATTCAGTGTCTGACTTTAATATCATTTGTAACCGTTAGGTATCGACCCACAATTTTAAA